AGCCTTCCTCCCGGGGTCTGGACCCAACCCATGCCACCTGGCCCACCCCATCCATCCTGCAGACGGCAGCCTGAGCGAGCTTCCTGAAACCTCGATGTCCCACCAGGGGCATCAGGTGCCAGAGGGGAGGAGAGAGGGAGGAAGCAATGGGGACTCCAGGAGCTGGCCTCAGCAGGGGGCTGGAATTCTCACTGGCGGAGGTGAGGAGGGTGTGGGAGCAGGTTGGAAGGAAGATGAAGGGAGTGTTTGCTCTGACAAGTTTAAGGTGCTATCAGATGCCCAGAGGACATCGTCGATGGAGTCAACAGCCCATCGATGACACAGGCTGTGGCCCAGGTGTGACCGGAGGAGCACACCAGGCCCGAACCCTAGGTGGCCCTCGGTCGTGGGGACGGGTACTGAAGGGGTGGCCCAGGGCTGACGGTGAGGTGGGAGGGGACCCAGAAGGTAAAGCACCTGGTGCTGAGTGAGACAAGTGGGGGGCGGGGAGGGAGGCACCCGGCCTGCTGCTGACGGCTGCCCTGGGAAACAGGGGGCCACTGGGAACCCTAATGAGAGATTTCTTGGGAGAGGAGAGGGAGACGCTGACCGGAGCAATGATCCAGAGGCGGGGAGGAAGGGAGCCAAAGGGAGGGGGCCCGAGTTGAGCAGACAGGATTGCAGGAGCCCAGGGCCCCAGGCTCCCAGCTGGGAACAGGAGGGAGGGTCGTGTGCTCAGCTCCAGCACCCTGGGCTGCAGCTCAGGGGTGGGACAGACCAGGGCTGGGTCACAGGCCAGAGATAGGAGAGGGCGGAGCCTGCGAGGTAGGGGCTCTGTGCTGGGCGCAGTAGAGGCCTATGGCTCGAGGTGCTGATGGGCTGAAGGCCTGTGGGAGCTGAGGCCCCAGAGGGAGGGAGCCAAGAGGAGGGGAGGGAGCCAGCATGAGGTGAGGGGGCTGGACCCGGGCGCACGTGAGGGGAAGTGGAGCTGAGAGGGCACAGGGGTGAGGGCTGAAGTGGGCAGAGGGCAAGGACATTGGAGAGGAGGCCAAGCAGGAAGGCCAGGGAGCGAAGGCTGTCCCGTGTCCTCGGGGAAAATGGGATCAACACAATGAGAGAAGCTCAGGGTGGGGGCAGGGTCTGAGGGGGGTGGAAGGAAGGAGAGACAGGAACAGACAGTAAGGATAGGTAGGGAGGGACAGGGGGCAGAACAGGGGCACAGTCCTGCCCCACTCAGCCCTGTAGCTCCCAATGACACTCGTGTGTGATGCCTGTGTCCCTTGCTAGGCCATGTGCAGGAGGTGGGGTGGGAATGGCCTGTCACTGGCCGACAGAGCTCCAAGGAGAGCTGTCAGCCACAGGGAGTGGGCCTGCTCTGGACCTGCCCACTCTGGACCCGCCTGGCTTAGCACCCCAAGTGTGCCCCACCCTGAGGAGCAGGGAGCAGAGCAGCCAGAGTGAGCGCCTCTTCTGCTCTGTTCCTCCTGACACTCCGTCAACAACAGGTAAACTGAGTCCCAGGGTGGAGCCAGTCAGGCCCCAGCCCCTGCTCTCTGCCCCAAGCCCCCCAAGCCCACCCGCTGGCCACTTACCCTCAGGCTTCCCGGGCTCGGGGGAGTCAGGCTCCAAGTACGAGTCATCTTCATCGTCATGTTCATAGTCTGTGGGCAGAAGGGGGGTCAGACCAGGGAGGCCCAGGACGGTGGCACCAAGGTGAGGGGGTGGGGCTTCGGAGCACTGCCGAGTCTGGGAGGCCTAGGGCCCGGACGAGGGCAAGAGGGGCAGGCGCTGGGGAAGCCACAGGGACAGAGCAGGCAGGCAGCCAAGCCCGCCCCCCCCCAGGGAAGCAGCCCAGGGGAGGGTCGGGTCGGGTCGGGGGCCAGGGGCCAGGGTGCAAAAGTGGTGGCGGAGCAGGCCGAGAGGCGCCTCACCTTCATTGTCCGTGGGGTATGGAGAGAGGCTGATGTCCACGGGCCGCTCAATTGCACCATAGAAACTGTCCGTGTCCGAGCTGGAGTCACTGAGTTTCAGGGAGGGGAGGGGGCAGGCAGTGAGCACAGGCCAGCGTTACCTCTGCACTCACACAGACGGACACACCGCACGTGCACAGACGCTCGGACAGACACGACAAACGTAGGCATGGACTCACACCACACACTGTTGTGGACATGTGCGCAGAAAACCATGAGGACACACACAGACCTAGAAGTACAGGTGAACACAAAGAGGACAGACAGTCACACAGGCACTGAGACACACAGACATGCTCCACGGGAGGGTTCAAGGACCAACACGGGAACTGGAGGCGGTGGTGCCTTGTCCCTCCCCCGCCGCGGTTCCTGCCACAAGTGTGGCCTCGCTGGCCAGATCCCCCCCTGCTCCTGCCTTGGGAGCTTAGTCATCTCTAGGCCGGGCCTAGTGTAGGGCAGAACCCAGTGCAGGACACCGGCTGGGACTGAGGGCCAGCAGCTCCAGGGGTAGGTAGGGACCTGCCACATGGCCTTGGGCATGCCAGGTCCTCTCTGACCTCAGTGGCCTCATCTATGAGAATAAGATGGTCTCTGTTCCACCCAGAGAGCTCCTGCTGCTGGCTGGGCCACCTCAGGGAGGCCACTGAGGCCCAGATGGACTGAGCCAGTGTCCTGGGGACTCTCTCTGGTCTCAGTTCTAAGCCAGACAGGGTGGACATGGGGGTGGGGGTACCCAAAGCTCTGAGCTGCTGCAAATGCTGGGGCTCCTGGGTGGGCAAGGAAAAGCATGTGATCCCCAAGTAGGAACTACCCACAGGCGGCGCACACACACACTTAGGTACGCACAGACATGCTTACATACTCAGGTGCACATTTACACAGGATTACAGACTTGGGGACACACACACAGGTGCACACCCAGAACACAGTCCAGCTGACACCACCAGAAACTTTGAGGAGAGGCTTCTGAGCCAAGCTCTTGGGAGCGGGGAGGCGGGTACACATGTGAAGCCAGGGCCCCTAGTGACACCCGCCTGCTGGGCACAGCCCCAGGCCCACCTGGTGTCCAGAGACAGCTCCTTCTTCTCATGGAGGTGGCCGATCTCCCTGCGCAGCAAGGCCATCCAGCTCTGTGGGTCAACCAGGGCCCAGGTGGGCATGGTGCTGCCCGGGCTCCGGCCCTGCACCCCTCCTCCCTTCACTGCCCTGCTGTGCCCACCAAGGTCGGGGGGGG